TCTCTCTCTCTCTCTCTCTCTCTCTCTCTCTCTCTCTCTCTCTCTCTCTCTCACACACACACACACACACACACACACACACACACACATACACATACACATACACATACACATACACATACACACAGCTTTTGATAACCACGTCCAGCGAAGGTGCGTAGTTGGAATGCTGATGGCATCCGATCAATCCAATACTTTCGGGGGGCAGAAAACACATCCGTAGTCCGCGAGCGTGCGTAATTGAACGATTTCAGCGACAAAAGAAGGAAACAATGAAAAACGAAATGGACGGATTTTGTGCATTTTGAATTCAGATTGGTCACTGGTGTACTCATTCTTGACAGAAGACTCTGTAGAACTTCCTGTTCTTTTGTTATTACAATAATTAGTGTTAGGGGAAACTACGAGGGAGTCACAAAAATGAGGGGATCAAAATACAGTTTGGAATTGCAGTTGGGGGCAATATATACAACCCAGCTTTGTGGCCAGGTAGGGCGCCTGAAGTGCAATTGCAGACTGTATATTGGCCCATAGTGAAATTATAACTCGTTTTTGTGACTGTGCTACTGTACTGAAGTTACCCCTTAGTTTTATTTTAACGAGTTTTGACAGCGACAAAAGGAGTTCAGCAAGCACTTCAGGCTGATGTCCCAGGGCCTCTGGCTTTCTGCCGTCGTCCCATGAGCACAACGCACCCTAATTTAGACTGCACAAGACTGGAAAGATAGCTTTTGTGCATCCCTTATCAGGGTGCCTAGTCCTGGAGGAGGAAGACGGAGGAGTCCAGTCGAAACGAAATAGCGAGCAAGTTCACAGTAACGACCTATAATACATACGAGTGCCTCAATACTGTCACTATAAAGGGACCCATTACCCGTTCCAGAAGGCTGGCATCCGTTGCGAGAGAGTGATTGATTGATCGATTGATTGATTGATTGCACCTGAGATCTCCGTCCATTAGTCCAGAAGACGGGAGGAGTCCGGAGGACCCTCCAGGGCCTCCACTGTCTAAGGTTCTGGGAGGACTGCGAAGAGGAGGGAGGTGAAGGTGGTCGTGACGTCGGTGAGGAGAGCACTACAGCTATCTGTCTGTCCGACTCCGGCGATGGCGATGCTGCTGCTGCTCCTGCCGCTGGTCATCCAGCTGGCCGCCCAAGGAGCCGCTGCCATTTGTCCGCCGCCCGGATCGGTGAAGATTGAATCGTTCAGCTATCTAGGAAGCGGCTGTCCTCTGGGGACTGCTGTCGGCGACATCTCGAGCGACGGCCAGGCGCTGACGGTCATGTTCAGCAAGTACTTCGCTACCACGGACAAATTGCTGACGGACCGGAGACGGAACTGCGTGGTAACGGTCAGTCTGAGCTATCCCGGAGGGTTTGTCGTGTCGGTGGGGACGGTCACAATGCGTGGGTACCTGAAGCTGGACGCGGGCGCCGTGGGGACCATTCAGACGTGGTACTACTTCTCCGGGCTGCCAGGGACGGCTCGCTTCGTGCGCAACTTCACAGGAGTGGTCGACAAAAACTTCGAAGTCACGGACAAGTTCCTCACCCTGGTTTACAGCAGTTGCGGCGTGTTCAGGAACCTCAACCTCGCCTCGGAAGCCCGGGTGATCCCCGGCCCCGGGTATCCGGCCAAGGGAAATGGACTTGTTGAAATTGACTCTCAGGATCTGTCCGTCCGCCAAGTCTGGAATCTCGTCTGGCAGAAATGCTAAGCCATGGCAGACATGAGCTCGTCTGGGAGGCCGCAAAGTAGAAGGGGAGGGAAGGGGCGGTTGGGGGGCGACAAGTAGTGGGAAAGGTGAGTCTAGGGTCCAAGAAACCGGTCGGCGGCAGTTGGAGAGGCCGTCCGATTAGGAGTGAGTGGGGGCGCGCAGGAGCTCGCGAGTGTCGGGAAGTAGTCCACTGGCGGAACCCTCCTATGATGCCCGCAATTCGGCCCGCAGCGTGGGACTCGCAGCTCCGTACGAGGCGTAATGTCATACACGTGATTCTGTTTTCACTCTGTTCAGGTCTAGGAGTTGTGTGGGTCTTGTATGCAGAAGGCACATCAGACACAAGTTATGATACACGTAATTTGGATTTCAGGTAAACCGGTAATAGTAAAGTCAGTCTTTCTGTAGAAGGTTAACGATGATCATTGCCCAAACTTAAGAGAGTTTGAACAAGTCCCGCCACCTCTCTCTCTCTCTCTCTCTCTCTCTCTCTCTCTCTCTCTCTCTCTCTCTCTCT